TTGTGTAAAGTTGATTAGTGTGGAAATTGATTGTAGAGGGGTCAAATTTCAATATATATATATATATATGATTGTAATATAAAGTAGTCAATAAGGTGTGTTGGGTCCTTTTGGATTTGATTCAAATCCTTATATGGTCTAATGAGAGAAAAAGATTAAATTGAGTACTTGGGTGTGTGAAATTTCTAGAAAAAGTGACTTTTTACATCTGAGTATTCAAATTTTAATCAGACCATTAGATCATGTCCAAACCTATCTTATTAGCTAGCTTATGAGCTAAGCTTCGTGCGAACATTTAAATCATTCCGATCGGACGTCATATGTGAAAACAGCACATGCTAAAGGTTCATCAGTTTGCTATCAAAATAATAGCAGAAATTCAAACAAGCGTGCCGCAGCGCATGGTGACACATGTCGCGGTGCATGACACATAAAGTTAGGCATGTGGCTCTGTGCCATAAGCCGCAGTGCACGTACTACACGCCATGGTGCATGGCCCTTATTCCAACTTGATTTTCCTAGTTTTAATGCATGCAATGGATGAGATGAATGTCTATGATTTATTTCTACTATGAATTCTCTGATGTATTCTAGCTTTTGATGATTTGTAAAATAAGTCTTCGACCGAAGCTTTTCTAACACAAATATTTTGTTACTAAATTATGTATTTGGATATGGTGATTCTGTTAATCTTCTACTATATTGAGTAAATATTTACATCAGGCCACATAGTTAGCCTTGTAAAATACAAACTTTTATGCTCTCCTAATATTAATATTAACAGGGGCCTTGAACTGAGCATCAATTGAGGATTGGTCTAACTTCTGTTCTTGAAAAATACCTTGGCATTCCTTTTTTGCACAAAAAGGTTGCCAAAGGCATATTTGATCAAAAAATCTCAAAGATCCAGAAAAAACTCTCCACTTGGAAGAGAAATACCTTAACCTTGCAGGCAGGTCTACCTTAGTTAAATCTGTTCTTAATGCTATTCCTAGTTATTTAATGCAATCTATGCTGTTACCTAAAGGTGTCACTATTGAGATGACTAAATGTTGTCGTGGTTTTATATGGAATGAACATATGGGGTAGAATAAGATACATCTTTTAATATGGGAAAATTTTATTAAAGGCAAGGTTGAAGGGGGTTTAGGGATAAAAGATTTGATTACTCAAAACACTGCTTTCATATATAAACTTTGTTGGAGCCTTTTGACTAACCAGAACTTATTGTGTGTTAAATGTCTACGTGCTAAATATGGCTGTAGAGATGGTGAAATACTCCTTGTCTAATGAAAAAAAAATCAGCCTATCATACTTGAAGGAGTATAGTAAAAGTTTGGGAAAATTTCAACCTAGGTACAGGGAAAAAGATTGGTACTGGAGCTAAAACCAACTTTAAGTAGGATAAATGGACACCCCTAGAATAACCACTCATCCTCTATGTTGTTGCTAATGAGCGCTTTATAGGTCATACTGCTAAAATAAGTGATTTCATCCTTCCTAATGGGTAGTGGAATATTATGGCTTGTCAAGCTTTCCTTCCCATATCTGTTATTTAGAATTTATTCTCTGTTAGAAGAATTAACCCAATTGAAGATGATACTTATTACTGGATAGAGTTTGGTGATGGTTGTTTTACTATCAAGGTTGCTTATCATCGCATTCGAAAGCAAAATAGAATCAACCTTTCTCTTTTTGGAAAAAGCTATAGAAATGGCCTATACTTGAGAAAATCAAATTTTTCTCGTGGCAAGCATCTCATGATAGATTACCTACTAACTACCTAAGAGATCAACAAGGTATCACGGATAAACCCCCAATGTTTGCTTAAATGTGCTAGTGAGGAAAATACTGTTCATGCTTTAAGAGACTGGAAATTTTCTTGAGAGATTTGGTGTGATATTATTGATGATAACAAGTTGGATGTTTTCTTCTCTAGTAATTTACAGGTATAGCTTGATTGGAATGCTAAAGCTGAAGTAGGAAAGGGTGCATTTATATAATAGCCATGGTGTAAAGTTTTTTCTCATATATGTTGGATCTTATGGACCTCGTGCTGCAAGAAGATCTTCAAAAGAAGTAACTATACCTCACACAGTGCCCAAACTCTTTGCATGCTCAGACTAAAGGAGGATTCCATTAGTAAAGGCCCCATAAACCCAATTTTATAGATAAAAAATGGTTCAACACAATGCTGGATGCCACTGGGGACAAACAGAACTTGACTTAATGTAGATGCCTTTGTTATCACTGATACTAATGGTAAGTGGTTACTGGGATTTCAATAAAGACTTGGCTGCATTACATGCACAAAAGTTGAACTCCTTACCATTTAGATGGGTCTGCAATTATGTCATCTTAATGATCTTCATAATGTCAATATTCACTCAAACTCACTTTAAGATATCAGCCTAATCTTTGGAGATGGTACTCATGAACATCCTCTTTGGCATGTAATTTACAATATCAAGAAACGCCTGTCAAAAGAGAAGAGTATAGAACTCTACTATACTAGCAGGGAAGCACTTATTTGTGCACACATCTTAGCAAAGAATGATCATCAACGAAGTACTAAAATTAATTTCCATGATAATGCAGCTGATATCTGTGTAGAGCAATACACTCTTGATTTATCATTGATTTAGTTGTTTAAAATTTCAAGCTTATGCTTGCTGTCTATAATTCAAAAAAAAAAACAAGAGGCTCATTTAAGTTGAACTGACACAAATACATAAATTGGCTTTATTCTTGTCACTTTATCTTTGCCATCATAGCACGAGGATGACAAATTATCACACTCTTTACCAAACAATGATCTTTAAAATACATTAGATAAAGTAGCAAATTTGGCCATGAAATATTTTTTAGAAGCATTTGATAACCTAAACTATCAAGTGGTATGAAATAAATCCTTAACTTTAAAAAACAAAACATTTAATAGCCTGTCGTTAACTTCAATCGATGAATGTTATGTGGGGCCTATAATGACACATGGCACTCCATGAGCACTTCAAGTTAGCATGTGTAGAGGTATAAATTTAGCCATAAACTATTTTTTGAGGAGCACTGGATATCCTCTACTAAAAAAAGCAAACCATCCAACACCTTCCTATCAAGACCAAACACCATTTATTTTCATACTTATGAGGACCATAACACGTTAATCTTTCTAATCTTCTTACCTTCATTCTCAATCTCGACTCAAGAAGAAAAGATTCAAAGAGTTTTCATCTAAAGACATTCACAACGAAGATTCCAATGAAGTAGGAGCTTGATTTTACTACACATGGAAGAAGCTTAATTTTAGCTTAATTTAGCCATAAATTATTTATTCTAGTTTGTTGGTGTTGTCTTCGTTAACCTTTTTAGATAAGAACTCCTTAAACTTTTTCTTCTCAAGCTAAGAGTGAGAATGAAAGCAAAAAGATTGGAAATATTAACATGTTGTGGGTCTTATAAGTCTGAAAATAAATGGTGTTTGATCAAAATTGATGAGAAGGTGTTGGATGATTTGTTTTTTATAATAGAGGCTACCTAGTGCTCTTTAAAAAATAGTTCGTATCTAAATTTGTACCTTTACACATGCTGGCGTAGATTGCTCGTAGAGTGCCACATATCATTTGTGAGCTCCACATAACGTCCGTTGACTGAAATTAATAACAGGCTATTAGATGCTTTGTTTTTAAAGTTAAGAATTTATTTTGCATCATCTGATAGTTTAAGCTATCAAATGTTCTTAAAAAAATAGTAGGTGGCTAAATTTTCACATTTATCCAAATATCTTTTAAGATATTAGCTTTTAAATAGTGTATTGTTAAATTATTTTTTCTTTTCTCTTTCTTGCGGAGTAAATCAGAGATGCCATTCTGTAATCAATCGTAAATTCTAAAGGAAATTACAGGTTTCAATAACAGGTCTTATTAAACATTTTAGGATTATACAAAATTCAGAAATATAAATAACAGGTCTTATTAGTTATTACAAGTATCGCAACACTTCTTGAAGTACCTAACAAAAATTTATAGTGCTCATTAACAGGTCTCATTTGACCATGAAATTATTGTGAAAAAATTAAATATTTTAATTTATTAAACCTTTTAGGATCATATAAAATTCAGACATTACTCACCCCTCTAAAACGGTATGGAGCAATACTATTTAAAAAAGAACAATTCATGATGTTAACGGCTTGTTTGACAATTGGGAATAGATTTCTATTCTCCAAAATAAAAAAATTTGTTTGATAATATCTTTTTAAAAAAGTGTTTTAAAGAATAAAAAAATAAAATATTATTTTAAAGAACATAAAAATAAAAATAATTTTTAGATGTTCTAGCATTATAGTTTTCAAGAACAAAAAAAAATATATTTTTATTATTTTTTATTTTTAAAATATGTTTTACAAAACACTAATTTTTAAAATAATAAAATAAAAATAATTTTAAACAGCCTCTGCAATACTGTAACTATCAACATAAAATAGAATCTATTAGTTTGTGGAGTGAGGTGGGAGACAAGTCCCGGATTGGATTGGACAAAAATGAATAATTAATAAATAAGGAATAAATCACGATGGGCGAATGAGAGCCGCTGGCTGGCAAGGATATATCATTTTCATATCTCATTTTATTCCCATTATTATTCTGTCTCTGCCAAAGCCGAAGGCCTATCCCACCAATCATTCCCATCATCTTTCACGACTTCCCCAGTCAAAGCATTCTTCTTCCACTAGATTCAAATGAGATTGATTATTAAAAAAAGAAAAGAAAAGAAAAGAAAAAACACAGAGCACGAAGATAGTAACATCTTCAGATTTTCCAGAATACCTAGCATCGGTCAAAAAAAAAAAAAAAAGACAGAGAGAGAACATTTGAGACCTTATTTTCACATATTCTTCCAATATCTTAAAAAAAAAATCGGAAACTAATTTAAGTTTTTTTCTTTGCCTTAAAAAGCAAAATCAAACCTGTGAAAAATTCTTACCGAACAAACCCAACACGGAAACAACTATAAGATAACATTTTTAGATAACATTTTTACATCATCTCTAATTTCTTGCATGCCAAAACCTCTGAAATAGCAGGAAGTAATACATTTTGGCTCCTCACAACCTAACAGCATCAGACTTGAAGCTAGTTTTGGGTTGAAGAAGAGGGTGTGTGTAATTGTATCCAAACTCATCTTCCATCTGAAGAAGTAAAAGAAGCTCCAAGTCCAAATGGCCTCGGGGGTATGCTAGACTGTGTACTATCTGCACTGGAAACCAAAGATGAAGTAGCAACCATGCCCATGGCGATGGAGCTCACTCCTTCAAAAGCTTGCCATTTTTTAAGAGCCCGAGGCAGGTCCATGTCAAGGTCAATCCCACAAATGTCATCATAACTTGTTTCTGCAGGCTTCCAGACCTCCACAAGAGGCGCGAGCACGTTCACGGCATGGCCCATGTCCGGCCTCTGGCTGGGCTCCCTTGCGCAGCAGTGGCCAGCCAACTCTGCAACAGTGTTAATACTGGATACAGTTTCTTCACTGACTTCTATTTCTGGATCAATTGCTTTTCGGAATGTGTCCTTGTTCAGCACCATTTTCCGAAACCATGCCACAAGGTGGACATTCTCTTCGGTTTGACTGTCATCAAGCGCTTTCCTCCCAGTGATCATCTCCATAAGAATCACTCCAAAACTATAGACATCAACCTTTGTTGTTACTCGTCCAGTTACTGCCCCAATCGTTCATGAAAAGAAAAATCACATTTCAGTTCCTCAGCGAATTGAACCGGAGGGGGTAAAAAGGCACAATGTGATATAATGACACAAGTTCATTGGCCAAGTGACTTGTTTTTTACAATCTATTCAACAGCCTAAACAACATGAAATCATGTCAAAACATTATTCTAAAGCAATGGGCGCAGTTAAGATAATTTTCCATTAGACTAAAACTCACATATCCACCATCAATGTAATGCCAGGATTAAAAGAATGAGGCTAATAAACCACAAATCAACCTAATAAGTAAAAATTAATGAGTTCTGTGACAATTTCTAACAGAGAATTGATCTTCTCTGCTTTGCCAATGCACGTGTTTCCGGGAAAAAAATTGTAAAACATAGTACATTACACTTGGCTTAGATTTGCAATCAATTATCAATTAGTATATACAATCTTTATTTACTATCCACGTATAGATTAATTAATATGAAAACAGAGTTGGCAACATACCTGCATATTCTGGTGCCAAATATCCAAAAGTTCCAGCAAGTCGAGTTTCAAATGAGACCTTTCCTTCTGGAGCAAGACGAACCAACCCAAAGTCAGACACTTTAGCTCGCATATCGTCACCAAGCAAGATGTTTGACGGTTTGAGATCCCTATGAATGAAAATCTGTTGGGCCAAGCCATGAAGGTATTCAACTCCTCTGGCAACATCCAATGCAATGATAAGTCTTCTAGTCCACTCCAGTGGCTTTAATCCTTCATCTCTCCAGTTGAACAAATGCCTGCTTAGAGTCCCCTGAGGCATGTACTCATACACCAGAAGCCTCTCATTTCCATCTAAGCAATACCCCATGAGAGCAACCAAATGCTTGTGACGAACCTTAGTGAGTACAGTGATCTCAGCCTTGAATTCGCTCAGCCCCTTCACACCCTCCACTCCAGATTCCATTCTCTTCACTGCAATCTTTGTCCCATCATGCAATTCACCTTTGTACACGGTGCCAAAACCTCCCTTCCCCAGTATGTTCTCTTTACTGAAATTGTTGGTAGCTTCTCTTAAAACTTGAATTGAAATTACCATACCACCAGCTTCCACCACATCAACACCACCAGCTGCATTACAAGTACTGGTAATCCGTCCATTGGTTCCTCCTCCATTAGCACCAGTACCAGCATTTACAACACTGATCTTCAAGTGATTTCTGTCTCCAGAATGCTGAGGATGTATCACTACGGCATTTGGACTCTGAATTTTTTTTGAATGCTTTCTTTTTCTATTGAACCAAACGAGTCCCCATAGCAGCACGCCAAGTAAAACGACAACCCCCACCACAACAATGACAATAATGACTGCTGAATTATGTTTCTTACCATTGCCTTCAGTATTATCCGGGTTAGGGGATCCCGGTGGAGGAGAAGGACTATCCTTTCCAATATCAGGATTCCCAGCCGTTTTAAGAGTCACGTCTTGCCGAAACGTTGGTACTTTACCATACATATGATTATTCGAAACGTCCAATTCTTGCAAAACAGGCATGCTAGTAAGCTCCCGAGGTATGGTACCAGTGAGGTTATTGTTAGCAAGGAGCAACTTTTTTACAGATGTGAGGCTGGATAAACTAGGAGAAATAGTCCCAGAAAGGCCCATGTTCTGAAAATTCACAACCGTAATATTTCCACCTGTGCAAACAATCCCTATCCAGTTACCAGCACAAGGATCATTGCCCTTCCAATTTTGAGCAAACTTCAATGGATAACCCAAAGGTTCAGCCACCGACAATAAAGCGTTCACCAAAGAACTGCATGGCTGGCCAGGCTTGGTCGTGCAAAACTGATTTATCCCCTCTATATCCGCACGTACTCCTGATTTAAACGCAGGCATCGGTCCTTGAAGATAATTATTAGTCAAATTCACGACTTGCAAACTAGCAAGAGTCATAAGAGACGACGGAACAACACCAGTTAACTGGTTATCCCTTAAACTCACATCCCACAATTCATCATGGTGCGAAAGGTCAGGTATAGGACCAGTGAAGGAATTACCATGAATCCAAATCTGTTTCAATGAAGTCAGGTTCTGGAACACCGCAAGTGTGCCATTAAGTTTAGAACTGCTCTTTTGTCCATTGACCCATAGCAGCTCTATCGAACTACCCGAGAAACTCGAAGGCAATCCACCTTCAAGTTGATTGAAACACAGGATCAATTTAGTCAAACCTGGGAATGGACCATCTTTGCCGAAAATATCAGGAATTTCTCCAACAAAAGAAACATTTTGCGCCGAGAAAGTTTGCAATGCTACGCAGTCCTTGAGTACGTCGGGGACTTGCCACGGAGGAAAAGGGTTATGGTCGATTCTTACTTCTTCTAACATAGACATGCCCTTGAAGAAATCTGGAGGCATAGAGGTGAAGCCATTGTCTGAAATATAAAGGTGTTGGAGGGAACTGGCTAATGACGGAAATGCCCCTGAGAGACTGTTGGATTGGCACTCGAAGCGCTGTAATTCTGTGAGTCGAGAGAGTTCCTTTGGCAGTGAGCCTTGTAGGTTCAGGTTCCCAATCTGAATTGCCGCGACCCGTTTCGCAGAATTGCATTGAACATGAGACCATTTGCAGACATCCGGGTCGGACCACTGGAGCGAACTCGACCCTTTGATCGAGTTCTTGAGAATGGCCATAACCGCGGCGTCCTGGGGCCTAGCCGACAAGACCATGGAAAGAATCAACAGTATGCGATATACGAAAGAAACCCCAAAACGCGAGTGGAGTTTCTCCATTTTTCCTTTTTCCTTTTTGGAGAAAATCGGTCCGGTAAGTTCAAGAAAACATAGAAACAGAGCTGTCGTGCTGGGGAGTCACGAAGAAAACAAACTTACAAAGGACTCTTGGACAGATTATCCTATTTTTCTTTGGTTTTTCTGCTCTCTTATCCTCCCGTCAAACCAACCCAAAAAGTTTAAGAAAACTGAAAAAGATGAACAGAATTTAGCTCCAGTACGACGCGAAGAAAACAGAGGAATTCCATGGGGCAGAAGGACGACGACGAACGCTAATCACAACCTTCCGTTCGATGAGAAAGCCGAATGCAAAAAAAAAAAAAAAAAAGCAGAATTTTGGGACAAAGATAGTGAAAAAGAACCGACTTTTCGTCTTGGGAAGTGAATAAAATGGGAAGATCAATCGGCGGAAAATCGGAAATAGAGGGAGCAGAGGAGAGAGCAAGGAATTAAACTGACTTGTTTGGTGGGCAGAGAGAAAATCGTGTGTTGATGGCCTGCGGGGCCCGCCTTCAGAGGATGTTGCGAGAGGGATCGATGGCTTGTGGTAACTAAATGCATTTGCTTTCGCTCTAAAGTCTACAGAGAAAAGGAAACTGTACGTAACGTAGGTGACTAGGCTAGGCGTGGTGATGTGTGTACATGCACTGCGAGGCAAGAATTCATTAATTATTTAATTCCCAAAACTCGGCCAATTTGGTTTTTTTTTTTTTTCATTTTTTGTTAGGTTCGATTTTACGAATTTATGGTGCCCCAAACAAAAGAAGTAACGACTTTTCTTTCCACTGCACGGATATGCCATTAGTTCTTTGTTTATGGAACTTTTTTAAGTATCCATAACTTTTAATTCATATATTTTACTTTCATTTTATTTTTAATTTTTATATTTTTTTATATTTGAAATTCTTATTTTTATTTTTTATTATTTTAAATCCTTTAATGTCTCTATATTTTACTTATAAAAAATATTAAAAAATAAAAATATAAATATTTAAAATACTAAAAAAATATATGAATCAAAAACAAAACATAAATAAAATATAAGAATTAAAAATTATGTTTACTCAATTTTTTTATATATTTTATCATTTATTTTTTTATAATATTTTTAAGCATATATATAAAAAGATTAGGACTCGAGACTTCAATTTTTTAAATGACTAGTGTTTATTATTCACACTATTTTTAACTGTTCTGTTTGAATAATTAATAGGCAGTAATAATATGACAGGCCCTTATGAAAGTCAACTTCATGTGACCGAATTTAATATTTCAAAGAGCTGAGACCAAGGGTTTACTGGACGCGCCAACCGGCCTCATCAAATACCACTATGACTAATTGACTATCTATGGGCGTTTTTCATAAGGACTGTTTTAAATAGAATAAAAAAGGAAGCTTTTTTAAAAACTGAAAGGCGAAAAAGAAACAAAATCAAGATTAACGCGGAAACTTCATTTGGGTGAGATCAATGTTCAGAATACCACTCTTCGCTTGTTTCCCAATGTTTTACTGCCTCCAAGTCACAATATAAAATATTGATAATGGTCTCAAAAAAGTTAGATGAAATATTAAAATTATAATTATATCTTTATTAAATATTATATATTATTATCTTAATTATGATAGCTGAAATTTCAACACATTATTTAAAACATAAATAAAGTAAGGATACAATTAAAAAATAATCTTAAAAAGTACCTAGTATTTTATATATTGGAATTGGACCAGTTGAGATTTTAAAAGATGTTTTATATCATAATATTAATAAGAAAAAATAATAATAAAATTCCTTTGAATTATATAAATAACAATTTAATCCTTTAAAATGGTATAATTACACCGAAGTTTGTAGAAATTTTTTTGTCATTAATAAATTAATATAAATAATAAAATTACCTTTGATTTATTATATTGCTGAAGTGTAGCAAATGTGAAAATTTAATAGAAATTTTTTTGTTATTAATAGAAAATTTATTATATTGTTGAAGTTTTACTTTGGTGTAACTAACTTATACTGAAGTTCGCATGATGCGAACTTATAATTTTCTATTACATTTTTATAATTTAAAAAAATTATAATTATTTAAATAAAATTTATGATTGGCACTTGTTATTTGCAATATTTTAGGAATATCAAGAATTTGAAATGCAAACTTATGATTTTCTATTACATTTTTGCAATTTAAAAAAAGAAGTTATGATTATTTAAACAAAACTTGTGATTAACACTTGTTATTTGTAATATTTTAAGAATATCAGGAATTTGAAATGTGAATTTATGATTTTCTATTGTAATTTTTTAAAAAAAAATTGTAATTATTTAAACAAAACTTGTTATTTACAACACATTAGAGATATCAAAAATTTGAAATGTGAATTTGTGATTTTCTATTGCATTTTTGAAATTTTAAAAAGAAAAGTTATAATTATTTAAGCAAAACTTATTATTAGCACTTATTATTTATTACACTTCAACAATATAATGAATTAAGGGTAATTTAATTATTTATGTTAATTCATCAATGACAAATAAGTTTTTAAAAACTAGTATAATCATACTATTTTGAAGGACCATATTATTATTTATATAATTTAAAGAGATTTGTCACACCCGAATAATGTGACCCTGATGGCGCACGAGCGAAGTTTCCAGCCTTTGTAGTAGGAAACGGATGGAACGGGAGTTGCCATCAAAATTTTGAAGGAAATCTTGAGAAACTATTTAAAAGAAGATAAGGATAGTCTGCGAAAACGAAAATTAGGTTCGAGAGTCGATTGAATGTGGGAAAGGTGTTAGGCACTCCACAATACTCGTTCCTCAGAATAATTACCTGAAGTTTGTTGTGTTCTATTAATATAATTTTATAATTATTTTAATTATTCCTTTTATATTCATGTGTTTAAAAATGATAAGAGTTATGTGAGAAATATTTATTTATTTATGAGGGAAGACTTGACTCAGCATCTGACTTTGAGGCCTATGTACCCTATGATGGGGATCAAAGTCTACATAGTTTAGGCTTGAAAGTTGTTGGTGAAAATAATTTTTTGAAGATAAATTAATTAGAAATAATTCATCATTTTGTAAATAAAACAATTTCTAAAATTTTGATATGTGTATTTTAAATTAAAAAAGGTAATTTAATTTTAATTATTTTCTCAATTTTTGAATTTTTTGAATAAAGAAAGAAAGAGTTTAAAATTATTTTTCTTTTATGTTTTATGATTGAGAATTTTAACTGCTATACCTGTAGAGTCTTATTAGTTCATACGGTAATACAATTGTTCTAAATATCTATGAAGATTCTAAAATCTCACACGGTAAAAGAATTTAGCAATTTAATTTATTTATATTTTTAAATGTTAGTAATAATTTGTTTAAGTATGTATGTATGTTTTAAAAAAATTTTAATCATCATACCTATAAAGCCTTATTAACTTATATGGTAATATGAGTATCCTAAATATTTGTGAAAATTTTAAAATCTCACATGATAAAAGAATAATATTTATTTAAATAAATTTTTAATTTAATTAATTTACTATATAATTTATATATTTTTTTAAAAAAATTTAATTGTTATATTTGCAGAGTCTTATTGACTCATATGATAATACAATAATTTTAGAAATCTATAAATATTCAAAAACCTCACGTGACTAAAAGATATAGTCGGTAAATGTTATTATAATTTAAATACATTAATTTGGTTAATTAATTTTCTAAATTATGTATTATATGATTATTTATAAAAATCATTTATTTATTATAAAAATTGAAAATCATTATGTCTGTGAGGACTTATTATCCCACATGATGATGTGACTAATTTAAGTCTTTATAAAGATTCTTGAAATCTCACGAGACTTAAATAAATTATTAATTTAGATTATAAAAAGAGAGTTAATTTTAATGATGAGTCTTTGAAATCTATATTAATATATACCAATTGAATCTTTATAGCTGTGAAATCTTATTAATTTACATGATATGAGATCATTTTAAATGCCTACAAAAATTTTCAAAATCTCACACGGCGGGTAAATAACAAATAAATATATACTCTCTTATTTCATTAGATGTCAATTACAAAATTGAAAATTCATCAAAAATGGAACTCCCTTCTGGTGACGACATAATGCGCATGCAAATAGATAAAGAAGGTAGAGAATCATGTTGAGATATTATAAATAGATAAAAGGCCTCTATCAGTATAAGGATAAAAGCTAAGCCATCACCTATCTACATATCCTTTTAGGCTAAAAACATATTCAAAAACCCTGTCTAACAATCACACTAATTCTTTCATTATCTGAGATACAATTATAATGAGATTATGCCTAAAATCAAATTAGGCTAGTTATGATAGAAAGTAAAAATTTTATTTGCAATCTCTTTATCATTCTTCTTCATACTCTTGCATCCATCAAGCCATACACGAACATATGTAAAATTTTGCAGCGTTTATAGCAAGAATGCTTCCAGAAACACCAAACAAAGCCAAATTCCATATCCAATAATTCTAATGAAATGCAAGCATCTAAACGATCAAATAGGCATATGTCAACCTCTTGTTTAAAAATTTTTCATGGTCCCTAACACTGATTAAAGCTTATAGATATTTAAACATAAAATTTGTTTGGAAATGACAAATCGAAATCAAACATAAAACATTCTAAATTTAGAAGCAAGCAGATTAGAGAACCTGTGTAGCATGTCCTCTTCCTTCACTCTCTGAAAAACGCATGTCCTTTCTCTAAACCTCTCTCGATCTATTCTGTCCTTCTCTTTTTTTTAGCCAACTTCTATGTCTGATCTATTCTCTCCTCTTTGTTTTTCCAGAAATCTCCCCCTTTAATCTCGACCTCTTCTTTCTCTCGACCTCTCTCTCTTTTTTTTTCAAAAAAAACTCTCCCTAATCTCAGTCTCTTCTTTCTCTCTGCCTCTCTTTTTTTAGAAAAAAGACTCTATCTCTTCGTCTCTTCTCAACTTCCTCTTTCTCTCAGTCTCTATTTTTCTTTCATTTTTCTTTTCCCTCTATCTCTGTCTCCTCTCTCCTCCCACTGCTGTGTTTGTGCCTATGCTCCCCTTCTCCTTTTTTTCCAGTACCTCTCCAACTCTTGGCTCCTACTACAAGCTTTAACTCCTCCTTCCTCATTCAGAAAAAGAACTTAAGTGTATCAGAGTGAAGCATGTGGTGGCAGAGAGTAAGAGCATGAAGGAACTGTTATTGCTTCGCTAACTCTCTCAAACGATATTGTCAATAAGGTTGGGAGACTCGTGGGTTGATACTCCTTTGCTTTACCTTCCAAGTAGTGTCATGGGATACTCATAATGCCTCATCTCTCCTATTCGTTTGTCTCTCCCACTTCACTGTCTCCTACACTCGGTCACTGCTCTCTCTCTCTTTTCTTCTTTTCTTCCTCTTCCTCCAAGCCAATATCTGGTCTCCCTTCTTTTTTATATGTGTTCTCTATTTCCTTCTCCTTTTCTCTCTTATTCCAGCCTAAAGACCCACGTCCCAT